TCATCTCATATCAGCCCCACCACAATCCTGTGATGTGGGTGCTATTATTATCTTCATTTTACAAATGGGGAAACTGAGACTCAGAATGTTGAAGTTTCTTGCCCATGGTCACACAGCTAGTGAGTGTCGGATCAGCGGGGGAATATGAACCCAGGTCTCTCCTGATACTTAGTCTAACAATCTTCTCACTACACCTTAGTCCCTGTCAAGAAAGAAGACAAATATATGCAAAAGGTTAAACAATATGAGAGATGTCACAAGGTTGTATGTGATTAAATTTCCAATGAATTGTATCTCCAGGAAGTGAGGTCAAAGGGATACTTCCCTGTGGGCTGGAGTGGATTGGGAGGACTTCATGGAGGAAGAGAGACTTGATCCATGTAGTTAGGGCTGGAAAGGAAATGAACACACGCACAGAGAGGGGGATGGGAGTGATTCCATAGCGCTCGGCAATTAGCCGTCTAAGTGGAGATAATGTTCAGTCTTTCAAATTTGAGTCTTATTGAGGAGAAGCAATGACCTGGGGAGCAGGAGATCTGGATTCCAGCCCTGGCTTTGTCGTTAGCTCATTGTGCGGCGTTGGCAAGCTTGCCTCCCTCTGCACGGTAGCATCCACCCCTGCAGAATGAGAAGGCTCGGACCAGACGGTCACTGAGGGCCCTTCCAGCTGTGAGATTCCATGGGGCTGAAGCAAAGGCAGTTAATGACCTGTGGTTGGTCTTCCTTGGTACAACGCTCACAGCTGTGTCTTTAAAAGGCAGCAGAAGAGAAGAGAAAGAGAAGATTTTTAATTTTTATTTCTATTCTTCTATTCTATTTCTATTTAATTTTTATTTCAACTGCTTATACTCAGTGCTTTGAGGGGAGGGGAAGAAGTAACCTTATTAAAATGGTGGCTTCTCTACCTACTGCAATATTATTTAATTCAGGGCTTTGAATGTGACAGGAGATAGGTATGATCTGGAGTCAGAACCACTCCCTACTCCAGTCCAAACCAATTCAATAAGCATTTATTAGTGCAAGGCACTGGGGACCAGACACTATACAGGAAATGGGACCTGTCCTCAAGGAGATTACACTCAATTGGAGCTGGGAGTACAGAGACAAAATGAAAAGCAAAATAAAAAAAAATGACCCCTGCCTTCAGGCTTACTGTCTATTAGAATAGCACAATACAGTATCTGAACATGTGAGTAAAGGCATGATGATTTAAGGAGGGAGAGAGCACTAACAACCAGGGAAAGGAAAGGAGGCTTCCTGGAAGAAGTGGCCCCTGAGCTGTACCTTGAAGGAAGCTAGAGATTCTTTGATGCAATGGTGAGGCAGGAAAGCCTGGCCCATAGAAGAAGGTGCCGAATAAATGCTCAGCACTTAATTGATTGATTGAGGGCACTTCCATCATAAGGGAGAATTTTTGCAAAGGCACATATGTAAGAGATGGAATTCTGAGTTGGGACCTCTAAGCAGAACAATTTGGTTGGAATCTACAGTGTCTGAGAAGAGATAAGCCTGGAAAGATAAGCTAACACCTTCTGTGGAGGGCTTTAAATGCCAAGCTTAAGAGTTTGTGTTTTATCCTAGAGGTACTGGGGCACTGGGCACATAGGTTCTAAGAGAGTGATGTGCTGATACTCTCCTTCTGGAGGAAAAGAAATGCCTTCTATTTCCTGAGCATTAGGTAGATAGATGCCAGATAGATAGATGGATATGTACATACATACATGTATACATATGTGGGTAGATGGGTAGATAGACAAATAGATGGATGGGTAGATAGATAGATAGATGATAGATAAAGATAGATAGATACATAGGTAAATGGATACATACTTACATATGTGGGTAGATGGCTAAATGGATGGATGGATAGACAGATACATAGGCAAGTGAAGAGAGAGATACACACATATTTAAGTAAATGGATAGATACATACATATGTAGGTAGATGAGTAGATGGATGGATGGGTAGACAGATAGATACATAGGTAGGTGAAGAGAGAGAGAAAAAGAAAGAAAGAAAAAGAGATATATACATAGGTAGATGGGTAGATACATACATACATATGTAGGCAGATAGAAAGAAAGAAGGAAAGAAAGGGAGGTAGGTAGGGGAGGAAGGAAGGAAGAAAGAAAGAGATAAATAGACAGGTAGATAGATGATAAAGATAGATACATAGGTAAGTGGATAGATAGATAGATACATACATACATACATATATACATACCTGTGTAGGTAGAGAAGTAGAAAGATAGATACATAGGTAGATGGATGGATGGATAAATAGAGCATTTATTAAGCAATTACTATATACCAGACACTGTGCTTAGTCCTGAGAATACCAATATATAAAAAAAAAAGACAAAGGGGATCTAGAAGGGAGCAGGGTACAAGGCTGCTGGCCAGGAGATATAGAGGTCTAGAAACTGAGGAGTAGAACTGGGAATGAAGTGACCATGGCCTGGGTACCTTGTGAAACATTGGTTCAAGCTAAGGACTCATCAATCAGGAAAGTGGGCCTCAGGATGGAGACATCTCTAGGTTGGAAAGCCTACTGATGAGGGGGTTGAGGAATCCAGAGACTAAGGAGGGGCCCTTGAAAAATGCATGCCCTTTCTCCTTGTGGCCTGTGTTTCAGCACCTGTGACAGTGATCTTTGACAGCTCCCTAGGTCCCCCAGCACAGTGAGAGAAGTACAATATCCCAAGTGGAGGATCCAGACATGGTAGACCTACTCTCCCACATATCACCCACTGGTAGTATTCCTTGTTTACTTCCAAGGCAAGAAATCCAGAGTCAGTAGCCTGCCACTTTCTGGGGCTCTTCCAAATGACTGGCACTCTTTTCACTAACATGAACCTTATCTGTCCCTTGCCCCCCTCCAAACATAGTCTTTCTGTTGAGTCAGAGGTGGGCTTCCCTGGATCCTGGTGGGCTGAAGGAGTTTAAGAGCAGGGATGCTCATCCTGATCTCAGTTTTGTTCAGGCCTTGAATATGTGTTGAGGGAGTTGGCACATCTCCTTTTATCATTTTTCTCTGGGTAAGTTGAGGCCAGCTGAAGCATGTCTGCTTTCCCCAGGCTGGCAAGCCTGTGCTTGGCAGTAGTGAGAAGAGGCTCATGGGATGGTCTTCCAGGGCCAATAGTTCCTCTTAATTAGGACCCAGAGGGCTCCTTGTTGCCACTGAGTTTCTGGCTATTTCCTCTCATTGCCTCTTAGGAGGAGTTAAATTTGCCCCAGATGGAAACTGCAAGGCAGAGAAGAGCTCCCATCCATAACTCAGACACTTTGACCCAAGCATTTCCAAAATATTATGAGTAGTTAAAAGGGTCTACATAATGAGAGACTGGCTGTTCCTGATGAAGAATAATAATGCTAATTACTCCTATTTCTCCAGTGCTTTCCTCAATAACTTTGTGAGGTAGATAGAACAAGTGTTCTTACCCCCATTTTGCAGACAGTGAAACTGAGACTTAGGTGAAAGGATTTGCCCACGATATATACCGAATATGAGTCCAATTTTCCTGATTTTAAGTCCACCATTCTTTCCACTGTGCTACATTGCTTCTACACTTGGCTAACACTGATGGAATAACAAATGCATTGGTTGTGCTCAGTGGCATCAGCTCGGAACAGGACTGTGTTTATGTCTGACTATCGCTCCTCTGATAGTAAAAGCTAGTCTTAAGATGTTACAACCTGTATGCACAGTCTTTTTCACCATTTTTTCCTCCATAATAGCTAAGATTCCGTAGACTGAGTTGCTTTTATCTTTTTTTTTCCTTCTGATAACGAACAGCAGAACTGTAACTAGGGAGGGGTAATTGGGGCTTTGTTGCATGATACCAAAATTTAGAGGGTCATGACTGCATTTGCCCTTCTTAAGCAGGTAGAAACAAGTGATCATAGCTAGTAGCAATAATTAGTTGAAATAGGGGGTTACTGTATGATACAATTACTTCCCCACCTCTGCTAGTGATGGCTTCTTCAGCAGTAGCCTTGGCATGGCATGATCTTTGCCCACAGGAGACATGATCATGGGCCTCCATCTCCCTTTCATAGGATCCTTTTTTCCCAAGGTCTGAAGTCTCTTCCTTCTAACTCTCAGCTCTCAGAAATATCAAACATTATGCATACTTTTCTTGGTCTTTGTGTGTTTTATATTTTTATTCTTTAATATAATATTATTATATTTTAAATGATATTTCATTTTTTCAATTATCAAGCATCATTTTTCTCCCTCCCAATTTGTCCCCTCCTCCCCAATAAAAGTAAAATGAAACCCTTGTAACAAATACATACATATGTGTGTTTGTGTGTATAAAATATATATATATATGTATACACATAATGAATTTTCACTCTTCCTTTGATCTCAATATAGGCCTAGTAGAGGTATTGCTAGGTCAAAGGATATACCCACTTTAGTAACTCTTTGGGCACAGTTCCAAATTGCTTTCCAGAATGGTTGGACCAGTTCTGGCTCATGGAGAGTCAGAAACAACTGAAAAATGACTTAACAACAAAAAGTTATTAATGATGGGCAGCTAAGTGGCGTAGAGAATCAAGTGCCAGGCCTGGAGTCAGAAAGACTCATCTTCCTGAGTTTAAATTTGGCCTCAGAAACTGACTGGCTATGTGACCCTGAGCAAGTCACTTAACCCTGTTTGCCTCAGTTTCTTCCTCTGTAAAATGAATTGGAGAAGGAAATGGCAAACCACTGCCAAGAAAACTCCAAATGAGGTCATAGTCAGACACAACTGAAATGACTCAACAATGACAACAACAAGTTATTAATGATTGGTAGCATTTTTTTCATGTAACTATAGATAGCTTGGATTTCTTCCCTTGAAAATTGTCTGTTCATATCCTTTGACCATTTACCAATTGGGGACTGGTTCTTTTTCTTAAAAATTGAATTTGTTCCTTATAAATAGTGGAAATGGGTTGCTGTGTATTTTTTCTCTTCCTGGTCTCATGTATTTTTTTTTTCTTTTCCAGGTAGCATGTGGGTCTGAACATAACCTGGCTGTGGTGGGTGAGTTAATTTTCTTTAGAGCACTTGAGACATTCTCTACCCCCGTCATTCATTTGGTATGTCTGGAGTAAAAAGCTGAGTAACCAAAGTGATTATGGAACAAGAATTTCTGGATTAAGGAATTTTCCCGTATAATAGTGGGTAATCAGAAACTCCTCTTGAGTTAAACCTTTGTTGAAAATATTTCTAAACTTTTGAGTCCATTTTCTTATTTTAGGAAATTGACTCAAGTGAAAAAGCTGAAGTTTTTCTTTGGTGACTAAGGATCTTTTATTCTACAGGATCATATTGGGGAGTGGGGATATGGAGGAACATAATCACTATCTTCCAATACTTGAGGGAGTTGTCTTGGAGAAGAGGGATCAGCTGTTTTCAGCTTGACCCTAGTGAGCAGAACTAGGAGTCAAATGGATAGAAATTGTAGAGACAGATTTTAGTTAAATGTAAGGAGAACTTAATATTTAGAAATCTCTCAAAGTAGGGTGGAAAGGCTGTCTTAAGGGGCAAAAATTCTCATCTCAGGAGGTCTTCAGGTGAAAGTTGGATAATAACCTAAGAAGGATAGAGTAGAAAGAGTCCTTAGGTTCCCCTAGGTAACCTCTGAGGTTCCTTAAAGCCCTGGAAAGCTATGATCCTGGGTGTCCTGGAATATAGATATAGGTGATTTAGGGGATTTGGCGTGAGTCTGAAAGCAGCTCTTTAAATAAATTCTCAATCCTTGGGATTTGGCTTTTTTCTTCCTCTTCAGCTCCCATGTAGTTTTCTGTGACTTTCACTCCCTCCCCACACTTCCTACTGCCACAGTTTGTAGAGGTTCTTCTTATCGTAGATGTTTGCTCAAGTGTTTGGGGTTTATTTGGTCAAAAATTCTGGTTAATTGAGGGTTCCTTTCAGTTGGGTTTCCATGAATCAGGATTTTATTGCCCTTTTATTTTCATAAACAGTCTTACCAGCTAGCTCTGAGAAAACTCATGGGTCAGCAGCTTGAGGTACCAACTTCTAGGTCTGGATGAGAAGTGCAGGTTGGGACCACTGTGTATGGAGACAGAATGAGTGGGGAGGGGGAGGAGTGGATTCCAGAAGGAGAAGGGATATTCTAGATAAGTCAGGGGAATGGTGGAAAGGAAGGGGAGAAGAGACAGCATGGTACAATGGAAAGAGCACTGGCTCAAAGAGGAGAGGACCTGAATTCAAATCCCACCTCTGAGATGTACTAACTGAATGATCAAGTCATTTGACCTCATTTGTCTTGTTTTTTCATCTGTAAAATGAAAAAGTTGGAGTAGATAGTCCCTTCTAACTTTAGATGTTTGATCCTATGTAACAACAAATGCCAGTCCTGGGACATTTCATATGAATAAGGGACAGCTTGGCTTATGAGAGAGAGACTTTGGAGATAGAGATCCTCAGTTCAAATTCTGGCTCTGCTACTTACTGCTTCAGTGACTTTTGTCAAGTCACTAACCCTCTTCTGTGGGTCTCAGTTTCCCATATGTAGAATTAAGGGGTTGTACTAGATGACCTCTAAGGACATGTCCAGCTTTCATCTTATTCTATGATCCCTCTCTGGGCCTCAGTTTCCACAATTAAAAAATGAAAGGAGTGGTCACTATATGATGTCCCAAGGACATTACAGCTCTCTGACTTGATAAAAGCTTAGTTCATTGTTATTCTACCTGTAAATTTCATCTGGTCTGGATGGAGCCCTGGACTTGGAGTCAAGGAGACTTCAAATTCCACCTGAGCCATCTGAATCAATCAATAAGTCAGTCAGTCAATCAATAAACATTCATTTATTAAGCCTGGCACCATTTTAGGCAGAAAGGATAAAAAGAAAAAAATAAACTGTCTCTGACCCCAAGAAACTTATATTCTATTGGGGGAGACATGGTACCACTAAAGCAGCTATTTCACAGGGTTGTTGTGACTCTTGAGTGAAATTAATATACATATATATATATATATAATATATGTATGTATGTATGTGTATATCTTTTAAAGACTTAACAAACTTAAAATTCAATAGAAACTTGTGCTAGTGTTATTATTGGCACTTTCCTCACTGTTTGGAATTGCCCGGCTTTGTCTCCTTCCTCCAGGTTCTTGGAGTGGTGACATTTAGCAGAGAGAGTACTGACTCTTGGGTTAGGGTCTCACTGTGGCCAGTGACCCAGTTTTACAGCTCTGTCTGGAGAGGTCGGGACAATTCTAGTGCTTTTGCCCAACGCCTTGAGGTCTGACCCACCTCAATGTTGACTGAAGGAAAGCAAGTTTTTATTTATACAAAAGTTTATTCAAGAACTACATATTTCTTTTTTTTTCTTTCATTTCAAATTTACTAGTATATCATATCCCTATACCTTACACATATTTCTTTAATAATCGAATGGAATGGGCTGCTTCAAGAGGTCTGAGCTCACTCTCATTGGAGGTCCCTCCAGAAGGGATGAATGAATACATTTGGACTAGGTTATAGAAGAGATTCTTGTTGAGGACTAAATTGGATGAGATAACCCCAGAGGTCCTTTCCAGCTCAGAGATTCTGTGATTCTTCTGACTTGGAGTGATCAACCCATCGTATCTTACTGTTGAAAGCATCTTCATTTTTGCTGCTCATCTAAGTTGTGCTAGGCGGCCCAATGGATAGAATGCTGGCCTTAGAATCAGGAAGACCTGAATTCAGTCCTTCCCCAGACACTTACCCACAGCTTGGGCACGTCACTAAAACCCTCTGCCTCAGTCTCACCCTCTGTAAAATGGGGATAATAGCATCTAGTTCATAGGGTTGTCACGAAGCTCAAGTGAACATAGATTTTGCAAACCTCAAAGTGTAATAGGAATGTTATCTATTTTTGTTATTGTGCACTGATTGATTTGGGTCTGTGAGATAACAGAGGTAAAGCATTTCAATTTTTTCTCTCCGGTGCTAATTAACAGGACAGAAGGATAATGTTTGGCATCCCTTCCTCATTACTAATTGGATAGCTTCACGTCTGTTTTGGATCTGAGTATTAGATTTTAATGAGTATTTGTCTTTCAGTTTGAAAAACAAGCCTGATGGTTTGATAAGGTGTCCCTTTTCTCTTTGAGTAAAGTTCCCCAACTCCTCCTATACTCCAGGTTATATCTGTGAGAAGAGAAAGGGTAGGTGTTTAGGGTCAAATGCGTACCCATCTCTGGCCCCACTGGGAAAGTCTTGGCAAGTACAACATTCCGGAGACATGCATTTGTGGTAATCTAATACTGCAATTTAATTCAACTAGCATTTGTTTAACACCTACTATGCATCAGGCACTGTACTAGGTGCTAGGGATACAAAGAGAAAACTCAAATTGTCCTGCCCTCCAGGAGTTTACATTCTGTTGGGGGGAGGGGAACAGAAAAATGAATGGATGAATGGATGAATGATATGTACTAAGGAAATTGAGAGTAATGGCAGAGTGTGGAGACAAGTGGGGAGAGCAGTAATAATTAAGAAGACCAAAAGAAGCTCCAAGTACAAGGAACACTTGAACTAAGTCTTGAAGAGAGTCAGGGATTCTAAGAGGCAGAAATGGGGGTGGTGCATTCCAGGCAAGGGAGGGACAGTGTGTATCAAAACACTGAGGCTAGGGATGGATTGTTAATATGGGAAACGTTAAGTAAGACAAAGACAATCTGGGTGGAAGGTAGAGCTCAAGGAGAGGAGTAATGTAAAACTAGTTTAGGAAAAGAGATTGGAGACAGATTGGCTTGTGAGAGACTCCCCTGGGTGCTTGTAGAGATCCTATAAGCTGCTGAAATCTATGCAGCATCTCCCATGTGCCCAGTCGGGGAAATGGAACTTTAGACACTTGTAGATGCCCACATCCCTAGAGCTGCTTAGTTAAAACGGGCCATCTAGAGAACACAAGCTCTGGTACTGGTTTCTACCAAGCTACAAAGGTCTCAATTATGGACCCAGCAACAGACTGTATTTCTATTGTCTGAGCACCAGTTTAAGTTTGAGGAGGTTTATCATCAAAAAATTGACCACCAGGAAATGGTTGTTTTGGGCTACCACTTAATGAATGTTTGTTGAGTGGACCACAAGGCTCTGCTCCTCTCCAAAGGTTTCCTGGAGCAAGCAGATGGAGAAACCTTTTAGTTGGGACCCATCACCACAGCTCAAGGGCTCTTCACTATGCTTTTCAGAGGCTGCCCCTTTGACCCTTTCTTCCTTGAGAGGTGGGAACGTGAAGTATTAGCGATGCAAGCTAAGAGTCAAAATTAAGGCTTTGCAAACAGGAGGGAACCTGATGACATTCTGTGTCTGTAATATTAGAGATATAGTTGCCTCTACCTTGTTTTATTTAAGCTCCCAAGTTGCATGAGTGTCAAATTAACTCCAAGATTTGATCTCTATGTGTATTTGGGAATCCAGAGGTACTTGTATGTTCTCTCCTATATTTCCTCCTCAAAAGTTAGGTTTTATTAGGTGATGGTCTTGCAATAATAGCAATAACGTTTGTTATGGTAACTGATGTTTCTATAGCACGCCAGTTTTGCAAATCCCTTTGCCTATACTATCTCATTTGAACCTCACAACAGTTTTGTGAGTACTATGAATGTCTCTCTCTATCTCTAGCTATTCATTAATTTGTTTATTTTTGGACTGAACCTGTGATTTTATTTCCAATGCCGAATGACAACTACATTTTCCCCTGCAGCCTTCTCACCCCGGAACATTCCTCCACAATGCCAGCCCCATTCTCCCATTGGTGAGTTCCTCCCCCTGAGGCCTCCCTTTTAGGGAGAGCCACTGGATGCTCAACCTTTATCCCCTTCCTGGTTCTGCTTCTGACTTTTCTGGATTTCGACACCATGCCTCCATGTGGGTACCTTCTCTCCCCCACCCCCTTTTCAGTTCTTTTTGATGCATTATCTTACCCCACTAGACTGTAAGCTCCTTGAGGGCAGGGACTATCTTTCTTTTTCTTGGTATTTATATTCCCTGTGCTTAGCACAATGCCAAGTATTAC